GCCCTGCCCCACTGCAGTCAGGCCGCTGCCTCCATCTCTATGTGGAGCCCACCTTGCCAAGGGCAGACACCTGGGGCGAGGAACTTCCCCGAGTGCCTGGGACAGTTCTAGTTTACTCCTGCATCCTGGATAATCACTGATAGAAGCCTCTTTCCACTCTCAGATGTGTCCTGGTTGGACAGTCAATTTGGGGGTCCAGCAGGTGCCAGGTCCACGGGGAACTCAGTCCTCAGGCAGAGCAGCTGCAGCAGCATCCGCGCAGTCGGCTGCTCCTCCTGAGTGGGTTTCCTTCCCCGGGCTTCCAGGCTCTGCCCTGGGCTGGTTTCCTCCTGCCTCAGCTGCCCAGCCTGGCTCCTCTGCGGTTCCTCTTCCTCAGCTGGGCCTTGGATGGCTGGTCGACCCTGGGCCTCCAGATTTCCTGCACTCTCTCACTAGGTGGTCTCATCCAGGCCCAAGGACCTAAATACCATCTTTGTGTTGACGACTCCTGATTGTTTTAATCTCAACCCTGACCTCTTCACTAAGCCCCTAGTGACCACATAACCCCTCTTCTTGGATATCCAACAGGTGTCTCAACCTTAAAATGCCCCAAACAGAATTCTTAACTAACTTTTCTCAAGCCTAGTCTCCTCCCATCTTAAAAACGGCTGCACCATTCAATTGGTTGCCCAAAACCCAGGAGTCCTCCCTGATTCCTCTTGCTTTCTTACTCACATAGGCAGGGTCCAGAAGTCCCAGGGCTCTAACCTCTAAAACCCCTTCCGGATCTGACCTCTCCTCCCTGCATGTGCTGCCTCCTTGCCGGGCCACCATCATCTCTCCAAGCAGCACTACAGTAACCTTCTAATTGGTTCCTCTACTTCCACTCTGCACTGTCACTGCGGCCCTACCCCAGACACGTTTCATTTTCTTTTCTTTTTTTAATATGTTTTTACTGATTTCAGAGAGAGGAAGGGAGAGTGAGTGAGAGATAGAAACATCTATGATGGGGATTGCACCCACAACCCAAGCATGTGCCCTGACCCGGAATCGAACCGTGATCTCCTGGTTCATGGGTCGAAGCTCAACCACTGAGCCATGTCGGCTGGGCACACACTTCATTTTCTATAGATCAGCCAGTCTATCTTTTTAAAACAACTTATCAGGTCATGGCAGCCCCCTGCTTAAAATCCCCGTGATTTCGTTCTACACATAAATTCCACCCCCCTTCAATGGCCAGTAAGGCCCACCAATCTGGCCCCTGCTCCTGGCCCCTGTCACTCTCTCCTCCCTCCACTCCCAGCACACTTGTCTGATTGCTGTTCCCTGATCCTGCCAACTCACTCGCACCTCGGGACCTGCACACCTGCTGGGAATGCTGTTCCCAGATACCTGCAAAGTTGGCTCCCTCTTGTCTTCAGAGAGATCTTCCTGGCCCTCTCTCTAGAGCAGCCCCTCGCCACTCCATCCCCTCTATTCCATCAGCCTGTTCTATTTCTTCTTGTCTCTGAAATGGCCTTATCAGCTTTTTAAGTTATTCATTGTCTCCCAACTCAAAGTTAAGCTCCACACCAGGGGCCCTTGTCCAATCTTGTCCAAGGGCCCAGCTGGTACCTGGCACACAGTAGGTTCTCAACAATTACTTGGGAATCATAAGTGAATGAACACAAGACTTTTTCTCCCAGGGCAGCACTGCTCTCTAACAATGTTCTGAGAACAGCCTGGCCAGAAAAATGGTCACCTGTTGGTTTCATTCCCAGGTCATTTTCCATCTGGCTTTGGCTTCTGATCTGCTCTTGGGAAGCAGGATCCGAGACCCCATCTATACTTACTCCCCCCTTAACCTTCCTGACAGCTAGGTGAGTAAGCTCTAACTACATTTCTGGTTCACCAGGTCATTGCCGTGGAGGCTTCCGTGGCAACTGGGAACGAGACCCCTCAAGCCCTTGTAGAGCACAGGACTCGGCTTCGGTCATCCAGTTTCGGGATGGCAGCTATTTGCCGACTGTCAGGAAAGTCGATTCTCAAAGCACCGCTTTACGTGTTTATACGATGTGCTCCCTGTTTAGCAGAGGCGCAGAGCAGGTGCGTGATGCGCATTAATCAGGAAACAGCCATCTGAGAAGGACAGCACGGGCAGCTTTCAACGGCCAGTTCTGCAAAATTACTGCCATGGAAACATCTGGCGAGACAGAAACACTCATTTACAGAGGAGGTGAGGCCTCCAGGCCAGCAGTCACGAGGTGGGCATCCTGGCTTTCATAACGGAAGTCTGGTGTCCAAAATGTGTTTGTCCCCCATTCATGAACAGTCTGGAGGGCCATCTAACCTCTAGCCGTCTGCTGCTTGGCTCTCACCAGGACATCTGGCTGAGAAGGGACAGAGTGAGGGAGGCAGACTAGGGCAGGGGGCAACCGCCAGTGCCCACAGGGCCAGGCAGGTAGGAGAGAGGTAGGCCAGGGAGGAAACCACAGGGAGTGGTGGGGGTCGTGGGGAGCTGGGAGGCTCCTGTCCGGCCTGATTGTCCTCCTCTCTGCAGTTTCCAACAGTCTGCAGGCCAAATGAGCTATATCTGTGGGCGGGTTTGCCCCGAGGATCACCAGAGTGGGATCCCAGGGGGAGCATGTAGTAGTAACTTCTAGGGATGCCAAGTGTAAAAACTAAAAGGCTGCACTGTCCCACACAGTCCTCAGAGCAAC